CCACTTGATCGTGATGTATTATCTTTTTGATGTGTTGCTGGATTCTATTGGTTAGGCTTTTGTTGAGAATTTTTGCATCCATGTTCATGAGGAATATTGGTGTATAATTTTCTTTCTTAATGACGTCCTTCCCTGGATTTGGTATGAGGGTTATGCTTGCTTCATTAAATGTATTAGGAAGTTGTCTATCCTCCTGTATCTTCTGGAATAATTCGAATAGAATTGGTGACAGCTCTTCCCTGAATGTTTGGTAGAATTCACCAGTGAAGCCCTCTGGACCTGGACTTGTTTTGGTTGGGAGTTTTTTGATGACCTGATCAATTTCTTCTTTTGCTATGGGTCTGTTCAGGTTTTCTACTTCACTCTGTCTATGTTTAGGTAGGTTGTGTTTTTCTAAAAGTGTATCCATCTCTTTGAAGTTTTCAAATTTGTTGGAGTACAACTCTTCATAGTATTCTTTTATTATGCTTTTGATTTCCTTCTGTTCCGTTGTGACATCACCCATGTTGTTTCTAACAGGTTTTATTTGTGTCTTCTCCCTCTTTTCTTTTGTTAGGTTTGCCAATGGTCTGTCAATTTTGTTAATTCTTTCAAACAGTCCGCTTCTTGTCCTGTTGATTCTTTCTATAATTTTACTGTTTTCTATCACATTTATTTCTGCTCTAATCTTTATTATTTCTTTTCTTTTGGTGGCTGTAGGTTCCCACTGTTGGTCTGTTTCTAATTGTTGTAGATGCTGTGTTAATGTGTTAATTTTGGTTCTTTCTTTTTTTGGATGTGTGCCTTTATTGCAATAAATTGTCTTCTCAGCACTACATTCACCATGTCCCAAATATTTTGGTATGTTGTGTTGTCATTCTCATTTATATCTAGGAACTTTGTGAATTCACATTTAATTTCTTCTACTATCCAATTGCTTTTCAGCAGGGTGTTATTCAGTTTCCATGTATTTGACTTGATTTCCTTTGTCTTCCTATTATTGATTTCTAATTTGATAACATTGTGGTCTGAGAAGATGCTTTGTAGTATTTTGATATTTAGCCCTTCTTCAATTTTTTTTATCCTGTTTTGTGTTTGTTCTTCTATCTTAGTGGTATTGAGAGATTTGTCTTCTAGCTTACTGGTTCTGCCTTCCATCTCATCTATTCTACTCCTCTGCCCTTTCAGAGTATTGTCTATTTCTGATATCCTGTTATTGATCATTTGGACCTCTTTCTGTAGGGTTTGAATTGCTTCCAATGCTGTGTCTACCTTATTTGATTGTTCCTGTAGCACTTTCCTGACTCCTTCCTTGTTTTTCTCAATTCCATTGTAAAGTGTTTTGAAGCATTTTATAATCATTTTTCTGAATTCCTTCTCAGGCATTTCCAAGTCCTACCCTCCTTCCAGAATGGAGTCCAGGTCTACCTACAGGTCATTTGTCTCAGACATTTTATCTTGTTTCTGGACATGTGCTGATATGGTCATCTGCTTTTACTTCTTGGACATGTTTAGTGTTTATCTGTGGCCTTAATACTTAATTGAGTATGTGTTTTGGTGTTTTTTATGGTTTCTGATTGCTTCCAGGAAGATGTGATCAGGATGTAGGCTTCCCTTTTCACTGTTCTTATTGTTTAACTCAGAGTAACTTTCACAGGTGTTGTGTGTTTCCCTGGTATATGGCAGTTGGTGTTGGTTCTTCCCAGGGTTTTGGTGTTTTATAGTGTGATTATAGCTTGGCTATATGGCACTAGTTGTTGACTCTTCTTGTGTAATATAGGATGACAAAGTGTCCTCTAAAGGCAGAAGCATGAACATATAACAGCAAAACAGCACCAGCGGAAAAAAACAAGGGAAAGAAATAAAAAAGACTAAAAAACAGCAACAATAAAAACAAGACTGAATACTGTAGTCTGTAATCACAGAAAAGGGATAGGAGAAAGAGAATGAAAAGAAAAAAAATTCTGTAGCCTAATATGAGTATAACTTTAATGTCTTCTCTTCAGCTTCTTGCTCTCAAAGCTGCATGAGAGATTTCAAGATGCCAGTGTTGGTTGTTATGCTATACCTCAGGCTTTAATTTAATTTTCTGCCTGTTCTGTTTTTAAACTCTCTTTCCTTCTCTACAGCCCTGTCCTGTCCTTTCCCTTATTAAAAACAGAACAAAAAACAAACAAATAAGAAACGTTCATGGCCTGCTCTTGGGCTGAGTATCTCTGTGTATGTGTGGCAGAAGAATCCACCAGTGGTGAGGGTGGGGGAGGGGTCCACTTGCTCAGGCTCCACTTCTAGTCACCAGAATGGAGGTGGACAAACAGTGGGCCTGCCAATGACCAGATACCAAAAGAAAAAAAAAGAAAATCAGAACAAAGTAAAACTGACAAAGTGTATTGTCCACCTTTGCCCCAAGGTTTCCACAGTGTTTTTCCATGGTGTTTCTGCTCCCCCCACTTGGTCTTGCCTTTTTGTCTCTCCCAAGATGTCGCCTCTGGGCCTCCAAGCCCGGCCCAGCAGATTCAAAAGTACGTGATTTTTTACTTTAGCTCCAATATCCACAAGCTATAAGCCTTCAAACTTTAAAAATATTCCTATCTCTATGGTTCCAAGTTTTGGAGCTCTGCCCTGGATCAGCGTTGCCTGGTTTTCTGTGTTACTGCTGATGGTGAACTTCACTGCACCTCCACCCTAGCCGCCATCAAGCCCCCCTGTATAGTCTCTTTTTATTTGAATATATGAAATTTTTTACTTTTCCTGCCATGCAGTGAGAGATAGAAAAGAGTGTGAATAAAACACTGTAAATTCCATGAAGACAGGACTCTCATTTCAGTCTGAAAACTGCAAAGAAAAAAAAAAAAATTAAATTTAAAAAGGCCTAAATAAATGGAAAAGCATCTTGTGTTCATGGAGTAGAAGACTTCATGTTCTTAAGGTGTTAATACTACCCCAAATGATCTACAGATTCAATGCATGAAATCTCTATAAAAATTCCAACAACCTTCCTTGCAGAAAAGGAAAAATCAAGCCTTAACTTCATAGGGAATTGCAAGGGGATGCAAACAGTCAAAACAATTCTGAATAAAAAAGCACACACACAAAACAAGAAAGAAAATTTACATTTTCCTATTTTAAAACCTATCGCAAAGCTACAGTAACCAAAATAAAATCCTGGTGTGCCGCTGTGGGTTAATGTGTCAAACTGCAAATCCGTTTGAACTGCAAGGTCATTGGTTCAAGCTCACCAGCTGCTCCTTGGAAACCCTATACAGGGTCTCTATGGGTCGGAATAGACTCGACGGCACTAAATAACAACAACAACCATAGATATAAGGAGCTCTGGTAGAGTAGTGGTTATGAATCCGGCTGCCAATCTCACTGTCAGCAGCTCGAAACTACCAGCTGTTCCGCGGGAGGAAGATGAGGCTTTCTGCTCCCCTAGATTTACAGCCTTGGAAACCCTGTACAGGGTCGCTATGAGTCGGAACAGACTCCAAGGCACATAACAACAACAACAACCATAGATATGGGGAGACAGATTAGGCGTTCTGCTCCCATAAAGATTTATAGCCTCGGAAACCCTGTACAGTGTTGCTATGAGTCAGAAATGACTCCACGGCACACAGCCACCACCACCATAGATATGGAGTCCTGGTGTGGTGCTGTGGGTTAATAAGCTGGAATGCAAAGTAGGTTTGAACCCCAAGGTAGGCTGTTCAAGTTCACCAACCATTCCTTGGAAACTGTATGTAGGGTGGCTATGAGTTGGAACTGATTTGAAGGCACTTAGCAACAAACAACAAGGATAGATGTGCTTAAATTGTGAACATAAAGACCTATGGAATAGAACTGATAGCGATTAAGCCCTATGCCTGTTTGATTTTTAAGAATGTTACCATGAACATTCAATGGGGAAAGACTAGTGTTTTCAACAAACTGGACATCCAATGAATGCCCTTGGGTCCCTGCCTCACATCATATAAAAATAATTGAAAATGTACCAAAGACCTAAATATAAGAATTAAAACTATAAATTTCTTAGGTGCTAATCTTCAGGACCCAGAGTCTGCAATAGCTTCTTAGATATGACATCAGGCGCATTAGTAAAAAGGAAAAATAGATAAATTAGACTTTATAAAAATAAAAACGTCTTACATTTAAGGGAAATTATCAAGAAAGTGAAAAGACAGCCTACAGAATGGAAGAACATATTTGGAAACCCTTTATCAGATAAAGGTTAAATATACAGATTATATAAAGAACCCTTAAAACTCAACAGAAAGACTAAAAACCCAATTAAAAATAGGCACAGGACTTGAATGCCTTTATCCCCAAAGAAGATAAATAACCAATAAACACATGAAAATATTCTCAAAATCGTTAGTTATAAAGGAAAGGCAAGTTATAACCAAAATGGGGTACGAGTTCACATTGACTAGAATGACTATAATTTTTTTTTTTTTTTTAAGAAAGAAAATAGATAGCAAGTATGGCTATAAAACACTCCAGAAAAGCTTACTTGCTTATTTTACTGGGTCTGGATTCTGTCTCTAAGTCATCATCCACCTCTGGTTCTTTGGACTTGAGCCAGTGGTTTGCACTATTGTCTGTCAATACTGGGAGTCATCAGCAGACAGCCATCTTACTGGCTTGCTGCCATTTGACCTGCAGATATTGGTTTATCAGCTTTGCAACTATTTGAGTTAGAAGCCTTAAGCTGACTTGCCTACCTCTACAACTGTGTGAGCCAATTCCCTGATATAAACCTCTTTTTATATACATATATAATCTTCACTGGTTTTGTTTCTCTAGAGAACCCAGCCTAAGAAATGGGGAATATGAAAAGGAGGAAAGAAAGGGGAAATGGCTCCCTTGCTGACATCCTGCCCTTCATGTGCCTTGGGCTGGCCCAAAGTCCAAAATAGGAACGGTAAACAGGTTATTCTTGGGCTGAGGACCATTGGCCTTTGTTAGCTGTGATACCATATGAACTGAGCATGAGAAACTGAACAGCCAAGGGGCAGGAGACCTTTCCTGAGAGTAAAGATTCAAGTAATAACACAGCATGAGGTAGAAGTCTGTGGCCCATTTTATAAGCACTACCTTCTTCCCTGATGGGCCCTATACAACTGTGCCTGTCTTAGTTTGTTCCTTGTCTGAGGAATCAAACCACCTTGGTGTATCCAGTGCCCTTCTGAAGGACCAGCCAGGATGATGTGGTATGGTAGAGAAAGGAGACCAGTGCCTCTCAGGAAACTGCCTTCCTATCACCCATTCTGCCTCTGCCTCCTGCCATGTACACATGCAACCTGCCTCAATGCAGGTGACCCGCTTCTGACCCACTGACTCAGGAAACCTAGGTTTCTCACACAGCAGGGTTCAGCTCCCAGCATTGAGCCAGAGTAACAGATGTCATGATATAGCCAACCCTGGCCCTCAGCATGTGGCAGGAAAACCCAAATGTCAGCCTGGAACAGGTTGGGGACCACTTTTGGAGAAAGAGTAAGAGATACCTCACAGGACTCATCAGAGGAAGACCTGTCTTAGAAGGAGTCTCTGTCCAGGAGGAAACTTCATGGTTCAGGCCACCAGAATCCAGACAACGCCAGTGTTTACATTCTTGGTCCCGGGGAGGGGTAGACCTGCTTCTTGGAGCACATTCAGGAGAGACCATGCCAGAGTAGGCTGGGTGCAGAGGTGTGGGCAATATAAGGGAACACTATTGTGAGTAGGCCAGAAGAAGGTAAAGAGACATCTAAGCACAAGTGAGAGACAGAGTAAGCACAAGTAAGACACAGAGGAGATGGCAGGGCACCTCAGAGGACCAAGGCTTAAACCTCCTTCAGATAGGTACTGTCAGGAGTAGTAGCTTATGCTTCCAGGAGTTGAAGGTCCCCATGAGAGTTGACTGTGGTTACCACTGATCTTGTTATTACTGTTGTTGGTTGCCATTGAGTTGATTCTGACTCATAGCAACTCCTCGTGTGCAGTGTATGACTGCTCCATGGGATGCTCAAGCCCGTGACCTTTCAGAAGCAGATTGCCAGGCCTTTTGAGGTGTCTCTGGGTGTGTTCTAACTTCCAACCTTTGGGATGGTAGTTGAGGGCTTAGTCGTTTGCACCATCCAGGGACTCCTCATTGAACTTAAACAGGTGAACTGGTCAGAGTAGGTATCACACAGAGCTTCTTATATCCATATCTCTTCAAGCCTTTTCATTCCCCATGGCAACTTTAGCTGAACAATTTAGAAGGAAACAAGGGAGATGAGTCCCAGGGACAGAGAGACTTCTGAGCCCTTGTACTCCCAGTCCTCATCTTCACCTACAGGCACCTTCTAACCTCATGTTCATCCAGATGAACACTGTCACTCACCCTCAATTCAAATTAGATCTAGCTCTTACTTCTCACCTCATTTTTTGTGAGGTTCAGGATCTTGACTTTGGGGACTTTCAGTATAATGTCAAACAAGCCATCTAGCTGGTAAAATTTGTTCAGGGATAACAGGTTTTGGGAAGAAGAGTTTGAGCGACAGTTACTATCGAGGGTCTTCCATCTCATAGTTTCTATCTCTCTACCTAAAAACTGGAATCCTAGTGTGGTGATAGAGGATAAGTACTAAACAGCAAGGTCAGTTTGAACTGCGACTGGAAGTTTCTTCTATTCAAGATCATGTCAATATAATGGTCCACCAATTCTTCAGGAAGCTGAGAGAAGGCAATCAGAAGGCCAAGAAGGGTCAGCTGTTCCAGCACCAGAACCAACCCCTCTCTAAGTTATTCTCGCCAAGTGTCCCTCATATGCACACCCCTCTGCTATCACCTGACTTAAAATTAATGCTGTCAGCCATACCTGGGTCAAGGTAGAAGCTCTGGATGTCAAGAGCTTGCTGGGAGACATCATATAATTTTTTTCATAGTCAGCTACAGAGACAGAGATGGAGAAAGCAGTCCTGAAGCATTTGAGGTGGTGTTGCTGATGGAAAAACCAGGGTGGTAGAAGAAAAGGTGAATCTTTGTGTGGGCACACAGCATATCTTTAGCTGCTCTATATATTCTGGTTTCAATTTATTCTACACAGAGTGGGGCACAACAAAGGAAATGGCAAAGATAAATAACTACAGAAAAGAGATGCAGGGTAAGTACCAGAAATTCTAATCTCAAAGAAGATGGTCCAGCTCCAGGCCTGTCTTCCTGCTTCCTGAGTGTTGTGTGTGTTGCACTGTCAAGTCTGCTTGAACTCGTAGCAATTCTATGCACAACAGAACAAAACACTGCTCAGTCTTGAGCCATTCTCACAATGTTATTGCCATTTTTTAGTTCTTTGTTGCAGCCACTGTGTCAATTATCTTGTTGAGGGTCTTTTTTTCAATGACTTGCTACTATACCAAGCATGATGTCATTTTCCAGGGACTGGTCTACTCTGATAACCTATCTAAAATGACTGAGACAAAATCTCACTCTCCTTAATTTCCTGGAGTATTCTGGCTGTAATTCCGCCAACACAGATTTGTTCTATCTTCTGGAAATTCATGGTATATTTAATACTCTTTGCCAACACCATAATTCTTCTATCTTCCTTACTTATTTTTCAGCTTTCACATGCATATGAGGCAATTGAAAATATCATGGTTTTGGTCAGACACACCTGAGTCCTCAGTGACATCTTTGCTTACCAGCACTTGTTTGTTTGTTTTTTTAAGCACTTGTTTTTTAAAGAACATTTGTACAATGTAATACATCATTTGATTTCTTAACTACTGCTTCCATGTGCTTTGATTGTGGATTCAAGTAAAATAGGTAATTTCTGTCTTTTCTTTTTAATCATGATGTTGCTTACTGGTCCAGTTGTGAGGAATTTGTTTATGTTAAGGTGCAATCCATTCTGAAGGTTGAAGTTTTTTTATTTTCCTTACTACATGCTTCAGTCTGTTTTGCTTTCAGCAAGCAAGGTTGTGTTATCCATATATCCCAGGTTATTACTGATATCCTGCAATCCTGGTGCCATGTTCTTCTTAATATTGTCCAGTTTCTCAGATTATTTGTTCAGTATACATGTTGAAAAAGTATGGTGAATGGATACAACCATGACTCACATTATTTCTGATTTTAAATCATCTGGTATACCCTTGTGCTATTCAAATAACTACCTCTTGATCTATGGATAGGTTCTGCATAAGCTTAATTCAATATTCTGGAATTCCTATTCTTTGCAACGATATTCATAGTTTAGTCAATAAAACACAAGTAATCATTTTTCTTGTATTTTCTGCTTTCAGTCAAGATCCATCTGGCATCAACAATAATACCTCTTCTTCCATGTCCTAGTTTGAACACAACTTGAATTTCTGGAAGTTCCATGCTACAACAGTTCTTGAATTATCTTCAGCAAGATTTCACTTCTGTATTATATTAATGCTATTTTTTTATAATTTTTTCATTCTGTTGGCTCACCTTTCTTTGGAATAAGGCACAAATAGGGATCTCTTCCAGCTGGTTGTCTAGATTCCTTGGCATAGACGTGTGTGTGCTTACAGAATTGCATCCATGTGTCGAAACATCTCGGTAGTCCATCAATTTCCGGAGCTTTGTTTTGTTGTTGTTGTTTTACCAATGTCTTAAGTGCACTTTACACTTATTCCTTTAATATGACTGATTCTTGATTGTATGCTACTTCCTGAAATGGTTGAACATCGACTAATTATTTTTGATACAGTGACTCTCTGCATTACTTTACTCTTTCCTTGATGCTTCCTGCATCTTTCAATATTTTGCCAACAGAACCATACAATATTGCAAGTCAAGGCTTGAATTTTTCTTCAGTTCTTTCCATTTGTAAAATTCTGAGTATGTTCTTCTCTCTTAGTATTCTAATTCCAGGTATTTTGCACATTCCATTATAGCACTTTACTTTGTCTTTCTGAACAGCCCTTTGAAACCTTCTGTTCAAGTGTTTTTACATAATAATTTCTTCAGTTCCTATTTGTTGTTGTTGTTAAGTGCTGTGGAGTTGGTTCTGACTCATAGGAACCCTGCACAGGGTTTCCGAGGCTGTAAATCTTTATGGGAGCAGAAAGCTTCATCTTTCTCCCACAGAACTGCTGGTAGCTTCGAACTGCTGGCATTGCAGCTCGCAACCTGATTCATAACCACCACACTACCAGAGCTCAGTTCGTATTAGCTACCCTATATTCAAGAACAACTTTCAGAATCTCTTCTGATATCTATTTTGGTATTTTTCTTCCTTGTCTTTTTAATGACTTTTTTGTTTTCTTCATATATGATGTTCTTGCTATCATCCAACAATTCCTGTCATCTTTGGTCATTAGTGTTCAATGAGTAAAATTTATTTCCAAGTTCTCTAAATTCAGGATATATGTTATATTATCTTGAGATCTATTCAATGTAATTCTTGGTCTCTAGTGAACTTACTTTATTTTCTTCAGATATACTTGCATATGAAAAACTGATGGTCTGTTCTGTAGCTGGCCCAGTCTTGTTCTAACTGATGATATGGAACTTCTCCATCATCTCTCTTTTTTTTTGTCACAGATGCAGTTGAAATCAATCTAATTGAGGTCCACATGTACAGTTGCTGTTTATGTGGTTCAAAAAAGATATTTGCAACAAATAAGTCATTGGTCTTGCAAAATTCTACCATGCAACCTCCAATGTGTTTTCTTTCACCATGGACAAATATTCCATCTATCAATCCCTCTCCTTAATTCCAATGTTCATATTCCAATCACCAGCAATCTTCCGTGTATCTTGATGTCATGTTTGATCAACTTTAGACTGCAGAAATTGGTAAAAATCTTCAGTTTCTTTATCGTTTCCATTAGTGGTTGGTACATAAATTTTAATAATATTCATATTAACTGCTCTTCTTTGTTGAAGTATAAATACTATCGTGTAATTGGCTGTGCTGTGCATTAGGATAAATCTTGAAATGTGTGTTGTTTTGTTATTGACAATGAATGTGACACTATTTCTCTTCAATAATTAATTTCCTTAATACACACCTTTTAGTTCTCGTCATAATACATATTGCACCTTTGCCTTCAAGACAGAGGTGATTCCAGTATCTTAGGTAAAGAACTCAGCTCGCTTTTTCTCATAGTGGAACTGAAGAGAGAAGAAGCAACAACAATAGTGTTGGAAGCTTAAAGGGTCCTGGTGATTCAAACTAATACAATGGCAGTACAATGTCTTAGAAACAACAAATAGTTTCAAATCACACATGCATATACACACACAGGACAAGATGTTACCAACAAGTGAGAAAAATAAAGAACCAGAAAATCTTTTAGAAGAAGGAATATTATTGGAAATACTTGATAAGGAATATAAAAGATTTATACATAGGTTCTTTCAGAGATTAAAAAAGAGATCAAGGAAAACTAAGACAATACCAGGAAGATCATAGAGAAAATCAAGGCAAACAAAGACACAATTCTAGAAGAATTCAGGAAAACAATACAAGAAAAAATTGACAAAATAATGGATATACAAAAATAAAAATCCTGAGAACTATCTACAATTTCAGAAGTACATAACACATTTGAAGGACAAAGGGATATAACTGAATTAATGGAAGAAAGAATTAGTGAGAATGAAGACAAATCTCTTAAAACTAAGCTGCTAGAGGAATTATCAGGAAAAAAGAAAGCATCAGAACTTCAATTAACAACAACAATATCAAGAGAAGTAGTTTGCATGTGATTGGAATTCCAGAACAAGAAGTCACATAGGAAAAAAAAAAAAAAAAAAGCTATAGAGAAAATTGCTGAAGAGTCATTGAAAGAAAACTTCCCTAATATCATGAAACATGAGAAGATATGCATTGAAGAAGCTCAACAAACCCCTAGCAGAAGAAAATCATCAAGACATAGTATAATCAAACTTCTCAAAACCAATGACAGGTAAAGAATCCTGAAAACAACTCAGAAAAAATACTAAGTTACGTAACAAAAAGAATCAATAAGACTAAGCCCTGACATCTCAGGAGAAGCCATGCAGTAAAAAGGTAATGGGATGACATATATGAAACCCTGAAAGAAAAAACAAAAGGTCAACCAAGAATCAATTATATATCTAGCAAAATGGCACCTCAAATGCATTGGTAAAAATTAGGACACATCCAGAACAATAGAAATTAAGGGAATTTGTAAAAATACTGTCATCCTGCTAAAGATAATATCCACTTGACCTGGCTTCAATGGCTGGATGATCAGAATTCAACTAGAAGAAGAAAGAAGAGGAAAAAAAAAGAGTAATCTGATACAATTTTATGAACTTGACCTACACCTATGGATGCAGTAGCTTAAAAGAGGGAACAAATCTTTACAATGAGGATCATTCCCACCTACTCCATACACAGAGCAGACAGGGATGGGCAACTTGGACACTGGCTACCCAAAATGGGGGGTGGGGGGCTACAAAGGCAAGAAGTGACTGTCTTACAAGCTTTCAAGAGGGAGCCTAGATCCAGAGGGTGCAGAGGAAGGTAGAATCTCCACTGAGTAGTATCCAATCTGTCTGGGCAGGGCTGAGGAAAGGAGATGGGGATAAGACCCTTGTGGTACAATAGTGAATAATTGCTATCAGGACTGACTGTGAGGGTTGGAAATGTAAAGGTAGACATTTTGTAACAAAAGGAGGAGAGTGGTTGACTTTGCAGTCCAGGAGCAGAGGTCCTTGTGACCATCAAGGAAGGAGAGTGGAGTGCAGGACCCTACCCAGAGAAACAGTGATGTCAGAGATGGAGGCAGAGATGATGACATGGAGTGATGGGTCTAGAGATGGACTCTAGACCCAGAGAGAGAGGGGGGTTGTGTGCTGATGACCGAGGGGCAGGCTTGTGTGGTATACCCTTTGGTTGGCTGGTGATGCATGGAGGGGATTGTAACCTTGGCAAGGAAACGATATATGATAGGATGAATGTAAAGCTAATATTCTCCATGTAAATTATCACATAATTCACAATAAAACATAAAAAAAACCCCAAAGATTCAGTAAACACTAAAGCAACAGCAATGAAGGAAATGATAAGAATATTTGTCAAAATGAACTTAACACAGAATACATGGAACAAGGAAACCATCAGCACCACACATACACACACACACACACACACACACAATAACAGCAGTAAAATTATGCCTTTCTATAATCACACTGAATCAAATGGATTAAATGCACCAGTCAAGATTTAAAGAGTAGGCTTCATGGTGGATTAGGGAAAAGCTCAGTGCATACCTTCAATAGTAATAACACAGATACCAGAAAAAGCAGGTTCAGAGGAGAGTCCCAGAACTCTGAACTACATATAAAGGAATATATAGAAGGGTAGAAAGCTTACTACTAGTGGGATTTGTAGCAGAAACAAGAAAGGTGGAATTTTCTGATCTGTGTCTGCCAGCTAGTGCCGGATCAGCCATCTTGGACATGACGGAGCAGGAGCATGATTGGATGACTGTTCCCACCACAGAGGTCTGACTGACCATCATAGAAAAATGTGTGAACATTTTTTCCCTGTTCATTGGTCTATCACTGTCTGTGTACCTCTGCTTTGGTGACTAGAAGGGGTGCCTGAACAAGTGGATGCCCCCCATAGCATATCCATGTGTATGCGTCCAGGATTTTTTGCTCAACAAAGACCACAACACACAGAATCTAAGAAGAGGGAGGAGTCAACAGGAACTGTTTAAAATGAGAACGGTATCCCAAAACAGCCAATTGGCTGAGTGAGGGGTGTTACAGTCATACTCATATTTTGTTACATTTGTGTGTGTGTGATTATAGACTGTAGTATCCAATCTGTTTGTTTGTTTTTGCTGTTGTAGTTTTATTTTCTGTTTTGTTTCCACTTTTATCTTGGGGGTGTGTGTGGCTCTTTTTCTTCCTATGTTACCCAAGAAGAGAAAGCAATCGTGGTCATATAGCCACACTACAATCACACCCTATAGAATTCTACTATCCAAGCAAGAGCCAATACCAGCTGTTATACACCATGTAGACAGCCAACACCTGCTATAGTTACACTGAGTTGAGTAATAAGAAAAGTGAAAAGGGAATCCAATTTCCTGATCACATTTACCTGGAGGCAATCAGAAAGCTTAATAATATATCAACATACCTTCAGATAATTACTGAGGATGCCCAAGAGATAGTCAAAGATTTCAGCAAATGTCTGGAAACAAGATAGAATAATTGAAACAAATGAGCTACAGATAGAACTAGACGTCCAATTGAAAGGAGGACAGGCTTTGGAATTGCCTGAGAAGGAATTCAGGAGAATAATATTGAAGTGCATACAAATGCTCCACAGAGCAGTTGAGAAAAAGCACTACAGGAACAATGAGAGAGAGAGAGAGAGAGAGAGAGAGAGAGAGAGAGAGTGAGAGAGAATAACATTGGAAACAATTAAAAACCTGTTAAAAGAGGTTCAAAGTATTAATAATAAAATATCAGAAATGGATAGTACACTGAAAGTACAAAGGCATAGAATTGAAGAGATGGAAGCCAGAACTAGCAAGCTGGAAGACAAATCTTCAATACTGCTAAGATAGAAGAGCAAGCAGAAAAAAAGGATAACAAATTCTGAAGAAAGTCTAAGATTCATGTGGGACAACATTAAGAGCAATAACTTAAGAATCATTAACATTTCAGAACAGGAAGAATCACAGAAGACCACAGAGGAGATAACTGAAGAGCTTCTGGAAGAAAATTTCCCTAACATCCTGAAAGATGAGAAGATAAACATTCAAGAAGCTGAATAACCCCAGGAAGGATAAACTCAAAAAGAAACTCACCAAGACATTTCATAATCAAGCTCTCCAAAATCAAAGACAAAGAGAGATTCCTGAAAGCAGCTAGGGAAAAGAGAAATGTTACTTACAATGGCAAACAAATCAGATTAAGCTCTGA